ATAGAGTAGGCAAACATATATATTTTCATAGGGCCAGAACCCCCAATCAGGCCAAAAAAATTCGATTCCTGAAATTCGATTCCTCGCGCACGTATTGGAATTAGGGCCAAATTTTTTTTTGAAGATGGAGCTATTTGGGGAGAAGAATGAACTAATTTCTGCAGAAATTGATTTTGTACAAACATAAGGGTAATTTAGTATTTGGATTGTCTAACATGCCAATTAATCCATCGAAGTAAAGATGGGATTCATTTATGTAAATCCCAACCTGAAAAGTAAACAAGAGATTAATTGCTGACATGTAAAGTTGTCTTGGATAATTTGTCTTATCCCATCCTACAAAGTAAATGACCCCCAATTCTATCCATGCCACAGACAAAGATAAAGGATCTCCAGACGATCTAATATTAGCCTGGCTAACCTCTCCAAATCACAATAAATAAACATAAAAAAGTAGCCCCTTTCTTCCCTTACTCAAAAGAAGGAAAAAATCAGTACACAGGAAACACACGGTGTAATAAAACAATGCTAGACGAACAACAAACCATGTGTGGCATCTATTTTCTGATTTTTCTTTCTCCAGCTGCATTCTTATCCTCCTTCCCGGGTGAAAACCTCGGCAGGTTCATGAGTGTGTTCACACGTGAAACTCCTTCAAGAGCAGACCAATAATTTGTGTCAATTTCAGCATTCACACCTTTAGCATCCACAAATTCATCTTGAGCTTCTGAAACTTCATCCTCTTCTCCAACAACCTCATCGTCAGTTTTATTATCCATGCTCGAGTGCTTTGATTTGAGAATATCGCATTTAGGTTTGGCATCATCGTCCTGATCGAGCGAATGGCTATTATTGTCATTGGTTTTGGTGGGAGTGGAATTAGTCTCGTTTGACTCCAGAAAAAGGCAAACGGCTGCACAGTCATCGACTTTAGAAGTCGGATATTTGGACTTCCATGCCTTAACAGCCGTCTCGACAAGGGATCGAGCGGCATGTGAACGTGTAGGGCAAGAGCCCACGATGTTAACCACTTCCTTATTTGAGAGTACATCCCAAATCTGCAAGAAAAAATTAAATTTATTATATTAAAACAGTTAAATATAAAACATAAATGAAGAAACTGCCTTCAAGTTCAAATAAATGTTCCGCAATAATAATAATAGAAAATGAAAAGATAAACTATCTCTCAAAGTTACAACTTGAAAGGAATTAAAAAACAGCACCCCTTAAAGATCAATTTTTCTTAGCAAGCACACCTCTTTCGAGGGTGGAATTTACAAAAGAGAAACAAATTCTAAAGGGCATCAGTAACTTTGAACACAATATACAAGTATTTTTTCTTGAAAATAGTTACATTCAAGACTTTCTTCTGAAACTCGGCCTTAAATTCATAGTGACAAAATAATGAATCTAGTGTTTTCATACCCCATCTGTGGCTAGCACGACAAACTCATCCTTATTGGTGATGCGTCTATAGGAAATTTCAGGCACGGAGATTACACCAAAGTCCTTGAGACAAAAATCACCAAATGCACGGGCCATAGCAAGGCCTGGAGAGTCATTATTCGGCAGCCACACTCTTGCAACATCAGGTTCATCATGAAGAGAAAAAACGCGTCCTTTACATTTGCGAATCCTCTCTGCTTCCGCTGAAAACAAGTAAAGGTTAGGTTCAAAAAGTGGACATCTATAAACCGATTTAATATGTCATTTTTTGAAATTGCACATTAGAGATCCTGGAAAAAAATAAATAAATAAAAATCACTTGAGTACATGTAAAAGAATGAAGTAATTCCACATAAATCAATTAGGGGACGATTGGATATGGATTAAACCGGTTATGATCCAACTTGGTGAGTTAAAGTGAGTTATTTTGAATAAAAAAGATTTAAATTTAAAAAATATTTAAAATGTAATAATTAACTTTGATATGATGTCAAGTAAGAGAGAGATTATAGGAAGTGAAATGTAGTTAAAATTATACGAGAGAAGAAATAGTGAAGTAAACTTGAAGTGATGTGTGTGAATGACTGATAGTATTATTTAATTATATTTACAAAAAGTAGGAGAGGTGGGTTGAGTTGGATTTGAATTAGGTGATTGAATATGAAATGACTCGATAGATTATAACCGATTGAGTTGGATCATAACTCATATCCAATCACACAAAGTTTAACCAACTCACACAATGATCAAGCCAAGCAAAAGCAACTACATAGACAGCGAAAAGGGCATTGAGTTCCGAGTATAATCTTTGTTGCCTTGGCAGTTACCTTTGTCACAAGTACTCTAGTTTAAACAATAATGCAGAGCAAAAGACATACTAACTACAAAACCCGTTGTGTAAGTAATCAAAGAAAGAAGATGAAAGATGTTATATCAAAATGAAATGGAACAAAGAATTCTAATAAAACCGCCTATGTATCAATCTTTGAATATCAATCTTTGAATATACATTCCCTTTAGCATCATCCTCCACCACTATTTGCATGACGTGCTACATTCCAGATCCCAAAGTCAGGGTTTAATAACAGCCTATCCAATTATCTTTCCCTTCCCTAGTCATTACCTTCAATTATGTTTCCATAAAAAACCAATGAGCAACAACAAACAATCCCAAGTACCATCCCCTGAAAACTGAAGCATGGTAAATTTTTCCATCGTGATCTGGACAATCACTCAGCATATAATTAGCACGCCGATAACATGAACATAGGATATGAGAGCCACAAGTAAAGAATAACATTGACCAAATAAAACGCAAAATTCATATCATATCAATATTATGAAACTGATGTAAGAAAAACTGGAAGGAGGCTGTTAGGAAGACAGAGATTGGTAAATATAGACACATGAACCAAAATCTTCAAAGTTAGGTAATAAGTGCATGATATCTATCAACCTATTACAGCATACTAATTTGAGGTTTGCTATCATTGACATCCTAAAGATATGTTTTAAGGAAAGAAAAAACATCTCTACCTGGAAGATTAGGTTTGAGATCCACAGTCAACTGGACTGCAGTAAGCAAATTATTCTCATCTCTTGTACCTAATACAGCCCTCGAGTCCCCAACATTTGCCATTACAATATCTTGGCCCTGCAGAGGCAAATAAAGACACTCATCAACAAAATCACCACATATAAAATCACATTCCACAACTGGGAAACTGTATAAGTATACCTGTTTCACCAGAGTAACAGCTGTTGTTCCACTACAGAAGCAGTCAATATTCGAATGGATTCTCAACTCCCTGTCCATGACCTTAAAGGCCTTCAGAAACGACTCTTTCAGGGTTTCAAAAATCTCTGGCTGCCTTTTGTTTTCTTCTACATCAACTGAAGCTCGACTAGCTTCCTCGTCAGCAGATACAAAGGAAGTTCCTTCTGAACATAAACTACTAGCAGTGTTCAAACTGACATCCCTAAGAACCTCGTCACTCTTAATGTTGACTTCCCAGTACGAGCTCAGCTTCAAGGGAAGAGAATCTCTTACTCGCTTTGCAACCAAATGACCATAAGGACCATGGCCGTCAAAAATCCCACAGAAGACAGTGTCTGTTTTTGAAGCAAAGTTCTGCATATTCAATCTCACAAAGAATCAACAAAACTTGTTTCTTGCACGACAAAACAAGCATAGTTCTTTCATGCCTAGTGAGAATAAAATTACAATGAGAAGTTCAATTACGAATTAGGGAAATTAACTCCTCTTAAAATAAGTTATTCACTTCAAAATATATTTTTTGGAGGTAAACACATGCTTATCAGTAAGAAAAGAGAATATAGGGCTCCTTGTTTCTAGGATGGCAACTTCAATGTATAGCAGGCACAAATCTGCTCCAACAGTGTTCATGTCCACGAGCTAGGTCAAATTCAGAGGGTATTACGGATGAGAATTTCCATAAAACATACTTCAAAAGGGGCACAAGAAATCATGAGTCTTAGGCTACGCTTGATAACCAAATACGCTAGCTTATAGCTTATAAGCTTCATTTGGTAGGACAAACTTTTTTTAAAAGCTCGAGCTTATCTCCTAAGCTTCTTTGAGGAGATTTAAATAAGCTCATTGAATTTTTCACTTCAGCTAATTTTACCAAACACTTTTATCATAAAAGCTAATTTTTCAGCTATAAGTCATAAGTTATAAGCTATAAGCTCGAAAATCACTATCAACTATAAGCTAACTTACTAACTTATCAGTTAGTTCTACCAAACATAGCCCAGAGGTTCAACAAATCCACTCAATAGACCTTAGAATTGAAAACACGTGAACAAAAGGCCGGGCCTAACCTCCCAAACAACCATGGCATCTTGATTAGTCCCTTTCTTTCCCTGCTGCGTAAAAAGTGACGCAATCTCGCTCGAACCGTTCAAGAACATCCGACCAGGAGTCCTATGCAGTCTTTCCTCCCACCTATAGTCAAATGAATTTTGAGACCCAAACTTCCTTTTCGAGCTCTTTCTTCTTCTAAGCCCCGCTGGAGACCCAGGCCCAGGGCTCCTGCTCTCGCTTGATAAACAGGAACCCATTCTCAGGGCCCTGATTATATTCAGTAGGCACTCCAGAGCAGCCACACAATCACACCGACTGTTTTCTGTACTTGGATCCGTCACGAGAGACTATACAAATACCCTCTCGATGATCTTTCTATGTACACAGATATCCAAACACTCACCAAGAATGATCACTCGTGCATCAATGAATGAATTCAAACACTTGACCCTTTCCACAGCATTTCTTGGATTTTCTAGATAATGATATATCAACACTCAACAGCACTATGAATTTGGCCAAATTTATCTACAAATACAGCCTCCAAGTGGGCGAAATTCACACTTCTCTTTCAATGAGTTATACAAAAGTAAACTTCTAGCTCACCCACAAAAGCACACAAATTTTTAACTACCCTTTTCTGAATACGGGCCTGTAGAAAGAGTACGGCCAGTAGGACACATAATAATGACAGAATCCACAGCAGTTTGCTCTTTTTTTTTTTCTTTTTCGATTCTATTCAAATAATAACAATGGCCAAAAGCTTGAAAATATTACACACGACCAAGACAAAAAAAGCAGATCTGTAAGAAAGTGTTATGCCCTTTACACAAATTACAAGACAAAACAGCCTCGACCCGTGAATCGCTCAAAGAAACACAAATATCAGGTAAATCAATCAGAAACAAGGATCAAAACCCACTTTAAGTGCATTTCTGTATAGGGCAAAGCGAGACTCTTTTTTTTTTTTTTTTTTTTTGATTTCGATACCTACAAACACAAAAGGAAAGGAAAAACTCAAATCTTTCCAACCCAGTAGATCAAATCAAAAAACAACGAAAACGAGCTCGCTGGATAATTCAGCAAAAGATTGAGGCCCGAAGCCCGACCGGGGTCTGTTTTAAATACAAATTAGCGTCTCAGACGAACATGGAGAAACACAAGGCGACGGCCACGGAGAAGGATGAGAGAGATAAAATTACACCAGGGATGAGATCGTTATATACGATTTTCAATTTACAGAAGAAAAGACACAGGAGGGAGAGAGAGAGAGAGAGAGAAGAGCCGTCTCCGTCCTTTCAAGCATTTATGAGGATTAATGGATTATTAATATATAGAGAGAGAGAGAGAGAGAGCACATTTTTACAAGGTGTTGTAGGAACATTACTTGAGATTACGATAATAAATTGTACAATTATCTTTGAATGGATGTTAAATAGTAGGGAAATATCACGGTCCCATTATGAAATTATTCCGTCATTAAAATTATTCCGTCGAAAATGATTACGACCATAACATTTCTCTAAATATTAATACGTATTTTTGTGGGCTGTACTCGCCAAACATTATTATTTTATTAAATATTTATTCAAGGATAAATAATTATTAATCAATACATAACAAATGATGTGATATGGTAATACAATATCAACCACAAGAACTAGAGCGACTCGAAGATAGCTCGGGCGGTTCGGGTGGACCAATAGCTCAATCGAAAATCGATCAACAAAAAGACTCGCCATCACGAGGCAGTGTCGATTGAAAGTCGATTCCAGTTCAGGTGAAATAGCAGTACATTGAAAAAACATAATTGCAACATCTGATGGGACCATACCAAATCCAATTTACACATAATATACACAATCAAATCATTGAACAAACACAATCTGTTGCACAAACCAAAAGATACATAGATGAAAAAAAATGAAAAGCAGCAAAGAAAAATTAACCCCCAACAACTCCACAGAACACACTTACCAAAAGGGGGTCTATTCTCTATGGAGTAACGTAGAGTGTGAAATGAGTGATAGTCTCCACCCCATCAGTCGTGTGCTGGTCCTCATGCGGAAGAGTCTCGATTGTAGCATAGCCCTTTACATTCTGATATTTGCCGGTCCCACCCACAATAGCGAGGTGAGATATGGGAGTAGCCGTCCTGTGGACCCCAAAGAAGCTGACCGTATCATCATCGTCCACTTCACCACCGTGGCAGAGCACAGTCAGCACGAGCGTGTGTGTAGTCCCGTCAGACGAGCTAGTGATGTAGAATCCCTGAGCCCGACCGAGCACAGCTGTACCCAGCTCGTGCCCCTCGGTGATCTCATTATCGACAACAGTGATGGAGCCGAACATGAGCTGCTGGAGGCTGAGGCCGCGCGGGAGCTGGCCAGCCGTGACAAAAGCCTGTTGTTGTTGTTGTTGTTGCTGTTGCTGTTGGGTGTTGCCGTTGAGGCCGATTAGGAATGGATAGTTGTTGTTGTTGATGGCGCCGTTGATTGTGTTGAGAGGGACACCTCCGTTTATAGGGAATATTTGGTTGTTGGCCTTTGAGAAGGGGAGATTGTTAGCGTTCGAGTTGGCTACGACTCCTGTGACTACTCGACCGGAGGGCCGTGAGCCACCGAGGATGTCGTGCATGAAGAAGGAGATTGGTGGTGGTGTGGTGGCGGAGGAAGGTGGTGGTGATACCGTGTGGGCAGCTGGTGCTGGTGGTATGAGTGGATCTGTGGCCGACTCCGGTGCGTCTGCTGGGAACAGAGTAGTTGGTGGTGAGTTAACTTCGTCGAGAATTCTTGCGGAGCGAGATAGTGTGGTGGAAAGTAGAAATAGGCAAGTGAAGAAGGTGAGTGCTGCTGATGACTTCCTGGAGAGAATACAGAGTTTAGCCATTTTTCAGAAGAGATGTTTCTTCAAAAGTTTTATTATGTGAATATTGAAGAATGAGTGAGTAATTTTCTTGGGTGTGAAGAATAAGGGGGTGTCACGAGAGTGTTATATAGTCAGTCCATAATGGAAAGTGGAGCTGATGACATGGAGTTGGTGAAATGCACTTTACAACTTTTTTTTTTTTATTATTCTTATTTTAGGTGTGATTGGTGGAGAAACCTAAACTCTTTCCGTTGATGAGGTTTTGGGGAAATGGTTTAGTTAACTATTAGGATAGAACGATAAGGTAGTTACGGAATCATTTTATCGGAGTTATCAACATGTAACGTCAAAGATAGTTGATCTAACGGTGACGCTAACATCTACCAGTAAGATAAACTAACAATATCAAACGTTTACCCCATCTCTGGTTGTCCATGAATGGCCGACAAAATTAATCCGGGTAAAAATGTGGGATTTTTTCCCAGAACGGGAAAATCCAACCACATCTCTGGACGGATGCGTGATATTATACCTCGCGAAGGCTGAAACTTCCTCAGTAATCTCAATTGCGTCCTCCACAAAGTCTGGATGATAATCCTCCTCCGACGGCACAAATTGACCAGTCTCTCCACCACCACGCGCCACCGATTCATATCCTCATCCTCTCCGAAGCCGCTGCGGCCGCTGCCGTCGCTCGACGACCGACGATCTCCGGCGGAGAATGCGCTGCCGTGCGACGGATATTCCGGAGAAACGACGTCGTACGAGGCCCACATACTCCCCGTTCGTCCCACCTTCATCTTCGCCGTCGAGGCGGAGGGAATTGGCGATGGACCGAGCCAGCCATGACATGTTCGTATGGCGTCGTTTTGCTGACTTGTCTGATCGGGTTGTCAGCGGCGAGGAACTCAGATCCGGTCTGCGCGCCGGCGATTAAAACCCCCAACTACGAGCAGCATTAGGCGTTGAATCCTGGGTCTGAGTTTCGGGCTCCGATGAGGGGAAAGGGATAGGAGTGCGGGAGAGCGGAGCATTTTCTTCGGCGTGAGTTGGTGCTCTGATAGGGGGGTTTTAGGGTACAAATTTGAACCGAAGAGAGAAAAATCGTCCTCAAAACGGCGTCGTTAACATCCAGTTTGCAGCCTTACATTCCTTATCCGATAGACATTGATATTCTGTGGTGTCAGACAATCACACATCACCTAATTAAACACACAAGCAGACGAACACAAAAGATCTTCCCCAAACAGCTTAGCTAGCTTTTCTTGAGATATTTGCACAATGGGGAGAGTCAGACTTTGTAGACACAGAGAAAAGACATGACCCCGAGATCTCTACAGTTTTCTTCTTCAGTCAGCCTATCATCACTGCCATCCCATGCACTGATGAACAGTGCGAGGTCGTCTACGTTTATTAATCCTCGTATTCAATTTGGACCTAATATCAAGCCTCAAAATGCTTTCTTCTTTCATTGTCTTCGATCATCCACCATTTCCCTCCGAGGTAAATTTCGAGCTGGTCTTCATTGTAAAGAGTAATTTTTTGCGTGGTTGGTTCCGTTTGTTTTGGTATGCATATGACAAATAAAAAGACTTGATCAAGTGTCAAAATCAACGTGTAAGCTAAGGATATGAATCTTGATGCAAGTAATTATAGTCATGGGAGGTAACTAATGAGTTGTTTGATCTTTGCGCAGTTGCGAAAGAGTCGAATAGGACAGAGGTGTCCCCTGATAATGAAAGGTCAGAGGCTGACAAGATTGTGGATAGTATGGACTTTGGTGAGCTTTGCAATGAGTTTGAGTGCATTAGCAGCCCTTTGGTTGAATCGAGTGCCAGACAACTCGTTCGCAACATTCTTGAACTTCGTCAAGGCAACCGGGCCATTGGAACTTATGCTGTTTCTGTCAGATATAAGGTACTCTTGTATTTTTCAGAATGCACCATTCTTCAGTTCCTGTGAGAATATTTTGGGTGGACATTTATTTATATTTCTTAGCTAAGAATGGTCTTTTAGGTTCGGTGTGCTATTAGCTCACTTTCAATTTCCATCGATAATAATTCACTCCAACTTATACAATATCGTTAACTGAACATGAGCATAAACAGCACATCAACAATCATATATCGAGTCCTTAGCAGTTACTTTTTGTTCTGTCCAATAACTATGAGGCCAGCCAGTCGTAGCCTAATCTTCTCGCGCCAAAAAGCTGTTCGCAATATCAGGGTTTTCGGATCGATGAAATAATTGCATTATATTTATGAAAAAATTAATTGCAGGACCCAGTTCGAAGCTTTACAGGTAGAGAGAAGTACAAGAGACGGCTGTGGGCAACTGATGCACTAGAGAATCCCACTGTCGTGAGTCTTCCGATATATATATATATATATGTTCAATGGACTTTTGTTGTAATAATAATGAGCATGGTTATAATATTCGAAGCTCTATATACATCACAATTTGAAGACAATTAAGCACTTCCTTTTTGCAGCGTGTGCAGCAGATGGTGATGTTATCAACAAGCATGTTGAATATCAAGTGGACTTTGAAAGGAAAGCCCAAGTCTCCAATTTTCTCCATTGGTGGTGACTTGATTGTCAAAGTGGACTCGAAATTCACTCTGAATCAAATCAGTGGTCAAGTGATCGAGCACGAAGAGTTATGGGACTTGTTATCGTCATCCCTCGTTTCTCAAGCATATTTTTGGGCTTCGAGGAGGCTCTTTGCCTCATTCGAAGCCTTAAACGATTTTTCCGATTTCATTAAGGACCTTGCAGATCGTGTGACAACAGAGAACAAGAACGTTGAAATGCCTCCCGATCCCACCGGTGATCCAACAAAGGTAAAATGCCCTTCACAAGAAAATTCATTTTTCGTAAATCCTGTTAAATTAAGAGGCCATTTACACACAGCTTTACATAACATTTGTTTATTAGTTAGATATATTGAAAGGGTACTTTCTGCAATCTACCAAACTAATATCACCATATAAGCATTATTGTTGGCTGACGAATCGAAATATGTTTGTTTGGTTCAGTTTTTCCAGAGGGACGAAAGCTTTCAGAGAGATCTGTACCAGATTGCCCTGTTTCTGGCAATTGTTTATTTTGTTGTACAGTATCTGAGAACAACCTTGTGAAGCTTGCACATACATACTATCCTTAAGCTTGCAGAAAATATCCTTGAATTTTGTATGAATATAAAATAACATATATTATAGTTTACCATATATTTTACACTATCATATTGCTTACATATATGTTAGTATACTAAGGTATAAATCATATTTTATTAAACATTTTCTCATAAAATCCTTATTAGTTTGATTGTTTCTAGTGCATTTTGACCTATGATATGGTCACCCGGGATGCAACCTAACTTATGTCATATTTTTTTATTGTTTTAGAGACGGCCTGAAAGTAATACAGTAACCTAATTTATTTAACACATATAACCCATTTTTTTTTTTTTCTTACATTTTTTTGTTATTGTTATTATTTTCAGAATGATAGAGTTTATAAATAAACACATAATTACAACTCGAAAAAATTAGCAACAGCCAATTTAAGCAACTATACACAGTTGAATTCATAAATACGTCTATACAAAGGTAGCCTAGAAACAACTACACTACAATACACCCACAAGAGTTAATACTATAATACTCCCACTAGTGGAGAATTCTAGCTCCCACAAGAGGAGAATTTTAACTCCTGAAAATGAGAACAAAACTACAAATCAACACTCCCCACAAAATACAAACAACTAACACCACCCTATATACTATAATAAAGCCCTACTCAACCGCCAACAAAGACCCTGAATCACCACCAAATGAGCCAACACCCAAAGACCGACCCCCACGAAAGACAGATCCTCGGCCCTAGCTAGAGAT